ATCTTTCACTAGCCCATGTTTCTCCAAGCCCCATCCAACCTGGCCTGGGACACTCTCAGAGATGGAGCAGCCACAGCTGGTCTGGGCAACCTGTGCCAGTATCTCATCACACTCACAGGGAACAATTCCTTCCCAATATCCCACCTGTCCCTGCCCTCTGGCAGTGGGAAGCCATTCCCTGTGTCCTGTGCCTCCATCCCTTGTCCCAAGTCCTTCTGCAGCTCTGTTGGGGTCCCTTTAGGCACTGGAAGGGACTCCAAGCTCTCCCCTGGAGCTTCTCCCAGCCTGGCTCAGATGGAGCAGCCACAGCTGCTCTGGATAGCCTGTGCCAGTGCCTCAGCACCCTCACAGGGAGGAATTCCTTCCTAATATCCAATCTAAACCTTGGCATTGGTGCAAAGCAGCTGCCACGAAGGAGAACCTGTGGAACATGAGTATGGGGAAGGACAAGCTGGTGCCATTTTTCATCAGATAGAACTCTTCCCACACAACTTTGTTCCAACAGAACTAGGAGGGTTGTGCTTGGTTTGCTTGTTATTCCTTTTCCCTCTGCCAACCTTTCCTTGCTCCAAGTGTGCTCCTTGCTGTGAACAGCCCCGTGATGGATTCCTTCTTGCAGTGTTTACTGTGCAGAATGACAAGACAAATTCTCCTCCAATGCCACAAACCAAATCAATGATAAGTAGATATTATTTTAGTGTCTTGCCTGGCATTAAATCCCTGGAGGGAGATCTCAGGAATAGATGTAATGAATATTCCTGGGGGAGAGAGGGAGGTGACATTTCATAATTACTTGATGTCTCCTGAGCCATGAGAGTCTAAAACTTAAAGATATATTCATTTATTACTTACTTTTCTTGGTTTGAGCTCTTAAATCAGAGTTTTCTTTGGCATTAATAATAATACCCAGGAAGGTGTTTTTGCCTTTCACTGTTGCTTTCCCAAACCTAATGGTTATGGAGCAGTGGCAGCCGTGGAAATGAAGGAGACTTCATCTGGAATTTGAGGTTAGATGAATAGAATATGAATGAAAATGTAATATTAATGTAAAATGGATTTAAAAGGCAGAAGGATGTTGGAATAATGTTGCTGACTCTTCTCATTTCAGCTGAAGTCTGAGCTGTGCTGAACTGTGTTTTACCTTTCTGCTCTGTAGCTCTGCTTTAGCATGTCAGGATTTCCTTGGTGTTTGTGCTGTGGGAGATGATAAAAGTCCCAGTGGTGGCTCAGAGCTTCTGGGCATGGCAGAATGTGCTCCATGGCCCAGGATGTTGAGCTCCTGAGGAGTACGGAGGTGGAGCAGCATTCCCAGCCCAGGGAAAGCTGCAGCATACCAAAAATAGCCTAGAAAAAGAATTATTAAGAATGAACAGATTCCTATAAGGTCAGAGTGTGACACATGATGCTAACTCCTGGCCGAGGACATCGCTGTCCTTGCAGGAGGGTTAGCACTCCATGGGAAGAGCAGCCTGGATCTATGGTACAAAAGGATCACAGATTTGGGTTGGAAGAGACCTTAAATCCCATCCAATTTCAACCCAAACAGGAACACATTCTCCTAGCTCAGGTTGCTCCAAGCCCCATCCCACCTGTCCACGAATAATTCCAGAAGCCAAGAGCTGATGCTGTTCAGAGTTGGGTTCTTACTATTGCCCAACACCTTCTTGACCAAACCTTTGTGTGTGAGAGAGGAACTTGAAGCAGCAAGTGGGAGCTGTGTGTGACTTGGACGAGGAATGTCCCAGGGATGGAGTGCCTGCAGGAGTGCAAGAGCTATGCATCCCAGGAATTCCATGGGGGTGTTAGCAGAACAATTCCAAGGTGAGCAGAGAGAACCAGTAGACTGGTGTGGGAAGGGAGTGATGTGTGCAGCATTTAGACCTGGATATGGAGCTGCAGCCTTGGAAGGAGGGAGTTAGAGGAAGAACAAGTCCAAGCTCCTGTGGCTGGCAGCAGGATCAGGATTTGGAGCAGGGGTGAAGCTCAGGCAGAAGCTTTACCTTAATTCTCATGTAGATACAATCTGTAGTACAAGTTTTACACCTTGTACAGGTAGGACAAGCACAATGTAGTTGTTAATATCACATAAATTACAGCTCCACTTCCACACGTCTCCAAAGCACATTCCTTGCTCTTGATTTGATTTCTGAACCATGAAATTCACCACAAAAAGCAGAGAGTTACGCCAAATTTGATTTCTGAACCATGAAATTCACCGCAAAAAGCAGAGAGTTACACCAGGGGGTTGAGGAGAACTCTTGGATGTTGTCCCAGCAGGATCAGGCTCCTCCCTGGGGAATAGGGCAAGGAGTTTGTTGGCTTCAAGTCCAGCTGAGCTCAGCTCTAATTGTTTTGCTCTCTGGTTGTGATTTAAGGGTTTGAGTTTGGATTTTAAGGCTTCTCCACTAGTGCTGAGCAAGAGCAGCACCATGAGCAGACAGGGTGGAATTCCAGGCCTCTAATATCCACCAGAATTTAGGCTTCTCCACTTGCAGTGAGCAGGAGCAGAGAGGGTGGAATTCCAGGCCTTTAATATCCAGCAGAATGACATTTTCTCTCTTGGACTGTTGAGTTTCCGTGACTTTCTTTGGCAGCAGAACTGTAAATCCACTTCTCCTATCGATCCACTCCCTGAAAATGTTAATAGTTGTGAATTTCATGGTTCAGAAATCAAATCAAGAGCCAGGAATGTGCTTTAGAGACATGTGGAAGTGGAGCTGTAATTTCAAGAGCCAGGAATGTGCTTTAGAGACGCGTGGAAGTGGAGCTGTAATTTATATGTGTGATATTAACAACTACATTGTGCTTTTCCTGTGTATACAAAGTGTAAAACTTGTACTACAGGTTGTATCTACATGAGAATTAAGGTAAAGCTTCTGCCTGAGCTTCACCTCTGCTCCAAATCCTGATCCTGCTGCCAGCAGCAGGAGTTTGGGCTTGGCTTTGAGAGGAAGCAGCAACTGTTTCTCCTGCTTAATTTTCCTGGTTTAATTAAGTCTTTTGATTTGCATAATGAGTGTGATAATACAGTTAGGATGATCTATAATAAAACAAGAACAATAATACACAGTTCACTTTGGAAATGGGAACAAAAAGGAGTGGGAGGCAAATGGGTTTGGGGAGGGTTTGTTGAGGGGATTGAGAGGGATTAATAAAGATGATGGAAATCCCTTCTGGAACTGAGTGTGGATGTGCTGAGGGAGCAAGAGTGTGTGTGTGAGATACTTGGGACACATGGGGGTCCCTAGGTGGATGTTGTGGGTGGGTGTGGGGCTCACTTAGATTTAGAAATGGAACCAAGACCCAGTGGGATGCAAATGGATTTGTGAAGGTTTCATTGAGGCATTAATGAAGACCCTGGAAATCCCTTCTGGCACTGAGTGTGGATGTGCTGAGGAACCTAAAGGATGTGTGTGGGAGACACTTGGGACACATGAGGATCCCCAAGTGATGCAGGGGAGTGTTGTGAGTGGGTGCAAGTGTGATGCTCACCTGGGTTTCCATTTTGGAAATGGAACCAAAACCAGTGAGATGCAAATGGCTTTGTGAAGGTTTCACTGAAGGGTTAATAAAGAGCATGGAAATCCTTCCTAGAACTGAGTGTGGATGTGCTGAATAAGCAAAGGAGTGTGTGGGAGACACTTGGGACACTTGAGGGTACCCAAGTCAGGGGAGTGTTGAATGGGATGCAAATGGGTTTGTGGTGGTTTCGTTGAGGGGATTTGAGGGATTAATAAAGACCGTGGAAATCCCTTCTGGAACTGAGTGTGGATGTGCTGAATAAGCAAAGGAGTGTGTGGGAGACACTTGGGACACTTGAGGGTACCCAAGTCAGGGGAGTGTTGAATGGGATGCAAATGGGTTTGTGGTGGTTTCGTTGAGGGGATTTGAGGGATTAATAAAGACCGTGGAAATCCCTTCTGGAACTGAGTGTGGATGTGCTGAATAAGCAAAGGAGTGTGTGGGAGACACTTGGGACACTTGAGGGTACCCAAGTCAGGGGAGTGTTGAATGGGATGCAAATGGGTTTGTGGTGGTTTCGTTGAGGGGATTTGAGGGATTAATAAAGACCGTGGAAATCCCTTCTGGAACTGAGTGTGGATGTGCTGAATAAGCAAAGGAGTGTGTGGGAGACACTTGGGACACTTGAGGGTACCCAAGTCAGGGGAGTGTTGAATGGGATGCAAATGGGTTTGTGGTGGTTTCGTTGAGGGGATTTGAGGGATTAATAAAGACCGTGGAAATCCCTTCTGGAACTGAGTGTGGATGTGCTGAATAAGCAAAGGAGTGTGTGGGAGACACTTGGGACACATGGGTGTCCCCAGGTGGGTGTTGTGGGTGGGTGCAGGTGTGGTGCTCACCTGGGTTTCCATTTTGGAACCAAAAATGAGTGGGAGGCAAATGGATTTGGGAAGGTTTTGTTGAGGGATTAATAAAGACCATAGAAATCCCTTCTGGAGCTGGGTATGGATGTGCAAAGGGAGCAAAAGTGTGTGGGGAAGATATTCAGGACACATAAGGGTCCTCAGGTGATGCAAGGGAGTGGTCTGAGGGTGCAGCTGTGATGCTCACCTGGTTTCCTTTTGGAAATGGAACCAGAAATGAGTGGGATGCAAATGGATTTGTGAAGGTTTCGTTGAGGGATTAATGAAGACCATGGAAATCCCTTCTGGGTGCAGAGGAAGCAGAAGAATATGTGGGGAAGACACTTGGGACATATGAGGGTGCCCAGGTGCTGCAGGGGAGTGTTGTGAGTGGGGGCAGGTGTGGTGCAGGTTTTCCTTTTGGAACCAAAAATGAGTGGGATGCAAATGGATTTGTGGAGGTTTCATTGAGGCATTAATGAAGACCCTGGAAATCCCTTCTGGAGTTGAGGGTGGATGTGCTGAGGAAGCAGAAGAGTGTGTGGGAGACACTTGGGACACATGGGTGTCCCCAGGTGTGTGCTGTGGGTGGGTGCAGGTGTGGAGCTGACCTGGTGTCTCTGTCTGGCCCTGCAGCCCCCCCCACGGTGCGGATCGTGCACTCAGGCTTGGCCTGCAACATCGAGGAGGAGAGATACTCCGAGAGGGTCTACACCATCCGTGAGGGAGAGACACTGGAGCTGACCTGCCTGGTCACAGGACATCCTCGGCCACAGGTGAGTCCCCACCGTGCCCTGGGGCACTGCCACTGCCTCCACACCTCTCTGAGCATCTACAAGTTGGTTTCATCTGCTGAGACTAGGTTGGTGTGAGGGCTCAGCCATATGAGGAGATGCTGAGGGCACTTGGTGTGTTCAGCCTGGAGAAGAGGCTCAGGTGAGACCTCATGCCTGGATATAACTTCTTCATGGGAGGAAGTAGAGGGTCAGCACTGACCTCTTCTCTCTGCAACCAGTGACCTGAGGGAATGGCCTGAAATTGTGTCAGGGGAGGGTTAGATTGGATACTGGGAGAAGGTTCTTCCCCCAGAAGGTGTTTGGGCACTGAAAAAGATGAGCTTTAAGCTCCCTCCCAACCCAATCCATTCCATGATCACTCCCTTTCACCACTCAAATTCCCAGCAGGCAGGGAGCATGTCCCCAGGGCCACACACCCCATGGAGCAGCAGCATCTGTCCTGGCTCTGCTGTTGGTGCAGAAGCACCAAGCTGAGGAAGCAGAAGGGATCTCCTGGAAGCCTCTCAAATGCAGGAGGAGTAGCTCCTTGTTGGCAGAGTGGCCATCAGCACAGCACTCCACTCCTCCAAGTGGGAAGCAAACACAGGAAAACAGAGGCAGGGAGAAAATGTTGGGGCTTCTAAAAGCAGCTCCTCCCCTGCTTTGCTTCCTGGGAGAGACAAGGACCTGCCACACTCTTCACACACAACCAGCACTCAGTGCACGTCTCAGCCCTTGATTTGAGGGGCTAGAATGACATGGTCTGCTAGCACTGCATGGGAGAAGGGTGGGAAGAGGCATGTGAGGAGGTGGAATCTTGTTAAGACGTGTTGCAGCCTCAAAATAGGCAAAATCCTCACAGCTCTCAGATGGCTGATGACGTGTGGCTGCAGCAGCTGCTGCTTCCACTGATTCCCTTCCACTGACTTGGCTGGGGCAGGGGGACAAGTGTGGGGACACCAGCACTTGCTGGATAGCATTGGGTGTGCTGGTAGGGACAGAGGGGACACCCTGCAGCCACGGGGAAGTGACTGGACGAGGCCTCGGGCATTGCTCTCCCTCCACTCAGCACATTTTGCATCTCAGAACATGCTGATCCAGCCAGGATAAGGTAACCTGAGGTGTGACAGCACATGGAGGTGACACATGGGGAAAAACCCACCCAGAGCAAAGAAAGCTTCAATGAGGACGAGGTTATGCTGACAAACAAGGTCTTTATAGAGCCAGAGTCAGAGAGGTTGGAAAAGCTCTTTAAGATCATTGAGTCCAACCATTCCCCCAGCACTGCCAAGGCCACCACTAACCATGTCTCCAAGAGCCACATCCACATCGCTCTTAAATCCTTCCAGGGATGGTGACTCCATCACTGCCCTGGGCAGGGCTTGACAATTCTTCCATTAATAAATTGTTCCTGTTATCCAGTCTAAACCTCCCCTGGCATGACTTGAGTCTGTTTCCCATTGTCCTATCACTTCTTCCTAGGGGAAAAAGCCTGAGCTCCACCTGGCTCCAACCTCCTTCCAGGTAGTTATCAGCCCTTAGTGGACAGCCAGGAATGCTAAATCCTGTGCTCATTCAGATGTTGCTTCCTCTGAGCTCCATTATCCAAAGGTCACTCCTCACCTTGGCAGTCACAGTCATTGCTGCCACTGGCCCAGCACAGGTGAGAGGTGCCAAGGAAGGTCAGGACAAGCCACATCCCTCCATGGACTGTGCAGGAGAGTGTCACTAGTGTCAATAAGATGTCACCTAGTAGCTACATAAAGCAGCAAATCACTTCTTGGTGTCACAGGGACACAAAGCCTTTGGACATTCCTTCTCTTATCAACTGGTTCCTGGGCTAACACTTGTTAAAAGACAAGTCCCAAGGGTGAAACTGCCCCAGACAGGAAAGAACATTCCAAGATTTCATTCAAAACCCCAAACCAACCTCTGGGCAAGATCCCGAAGCAGCAGTTTATGGCAAACAGGGGCTGTATTTGCCCACCCACTGCTAGCCTCACCTGAGTGGGGATGAGGCACTTGAAAACTTCATCAAGGGAAATGATTTCCATGGCAACTAATGGCTCATTTAAGAGCTGAAGTGCTGTGTATCAGGATGGTGGGAATCAGGAATAACAGTGATGAGCAAGTGCTGTGTATCAAATCATTCCATGGAGAACAAGCAGATATGCAATGATGTGTTGGGTGCTCAGAGCTTTCAGTATCATTAGGAGTGAGGCTAAGCTCTGGGAATCAACAGTGCAATTGCTTGTGATTCTCCTCCCTTGCAATAATTCTTGTATCTTTCTATTACTCTCCGCCAAATCCTCATGGATATTTGTTGTCCATTCAAACTGAAAACTGCTTCAAACTTCCTTCTAGTCTAACCAATGTCAATGAGGATTTGGGGGATATCAATTGAGTACATGAATTTCCCTGTCTCCACCTGCCTGGAACTAAGCAGAGGAAGAATTTGGTGCCATGTGGAGGGAAGGCAGGAAAGAGGAAACCTGAAAATGTGTTTTCAAAGCAAAGCCCCCCCAGAGTGGTGTCCCTGAAGATCACTTGGAGCAGATCACAGAGACATCCATGAGTCATGACCCAACAAGGATGTGTTGGGTGCTCAGAGCTTCCAGTGTCATTAGGGTGAGGCTAAAACTTGGGACTCAGCACTGGAATTGTGTGTGATTTTCCTTCCTTGTGATAATTCCTGCATCCTTTTCTCATTCTCCCCCAAATCCTCATGGATGCTGTTGCATTTTCAAATTGAAAACTGTTTCAAATTTCCTTCTAGTCTAATCAATATCAATTGATAGCAATTAAGACATGAATTTCGCTGCCTCCACCTTCCTGGAAGTAATCAGAGGGAGAATTTTGAGGCATGTGGAAGGAAGACAGCAAAAAAGAACTCTGAAGATGTGTTTTCAAAGCAAAGTCCCCCCAGAGTGGTGTCACTGCAGGATGACTTGGAGCAGATCACAGAGAAACCCACGACTCATTGGCCCTTACACAACTACATCCATTGATCCAAAACTTAAAAGCAATGCCTGGAAAGACAAAAAGAAAGGCATCAATGTGCAGCTTGGTAAAGCACACAGGAGGCCTGACATGAGAGGGGAAAAAGGAAAACAGTCATTCCTCACCTCAGAGTTCTACCTGCAGGGGATACCCAGCCCAGGCAGCCTTGAATTCCACAGGATGTCATGTCATAGATATCCCAGGATGGTTTGGGTTGGAAGGAACTTAAAGCTCATCTCATCCCACCCCCTGCCATGGGCAGGGACACCTTCCACCAGCCCAGGTTGCTCCAAGCCCCATCCAACCTGGCATGGAACACTCCCAGGGATGGAGCAGCCACAGCTTCTCTGGAAATTCCATCTACAGACAGTGTCAAGAAGTCTGTGATTCCACAGAATTATGGAATCATAGAATGGTTTGGGTTGGAAGGGCCTTAAAGCTTATCCAATTCCACCCCCTGCAATGGGCAGTGACACCCTGCACTAGTGCAGGTTGCTCCAAGCCCCATCCAACCTGGCCTGGAATAGTCCCAGGGATGGAGCAGCCACAGCTGCTCTGGGCAACCTGTGCCAATGTCTCACCACCCTCACAGGGAATTCCTTCCCAATATCCCATCTGTCCCTGCCCTCTGGCTGTGGGAAGCCATTCCCTGTGTCCTGTGCCTCCATACCTTGTCCCTAAGTCCCTCTGCAGCTCTGTTGGGGTCCCTTTAGTCTTACACCTCTTCCAACAAGCAGCCACCATCTTAACAGTTGAATTTATCACAGAATCATAGAATCAACCGGGTTGGAAGAGATTTACTTCAAAGATTGTTTGAGTCCAAATTGCTGAAGTCCAGGTAGACTATATCCACAGCCTTCCCCTCATCCATCAGGCAGGTCTCCTGATCATAAAAGGAGATCAGTTTGGTCAGACAGGACCTGCCCTTCCTAAACCCATGCTGGCTGGGTCTGATGTCTTGTCTATCCTGTAGGTGCTGTGTGATCGCACTTAGGATGATCTGCTCCATGACTTTGCCAGACACTGAGGTCAGG